GAACAACAATTTTGCGTTTCACGAAACAAATACTTACGTTTTCACGCTTCTCAAAAATAGAGGTCGTACAAAATGTCAAAAACGTTAGGTTAGTCCCATTTTGTAAAACAGAAAGCTTCGATTATATCTTAGCAAGTTAACTAGAGTATAACGAACCCTCTGAAGAACACTGCGCCACTATAAATTCCTAAGGAAAGGCAGCTGTAGGTGGGTCTGAGCGTACTGAAGTGTGAAGTTACATCAAAAGACTCGAAAGCGAAGTTAAATCAAGCCACCAGATGCTGGTTAAGGTCGTTTGGCCAAATTAACGCTTCATTTACTTCGCTTGATCTGCAGTTCAGGTTTCACGGAGTGCACTTAAATCTCGATTTACGGAACAGTTTTTCAGTACATCACGATTCGCGGACACCAAAGATAATCGATCACGGCGTCACGAAAAAAAGCTTACCCCCCCCCACCCCCTCGCTCGCTTCTTTTTTTCTTTTTCTTCATTTGAGTGTTGTTATCAAAACCCATAGTAGCAATAGCCCTGCCCAATTGTAACAAATTCAGATAGATCAACAAACCAATCAGAGTTTAATACAAAATAAATAGGGTGACCGGTGTTCGGCGCGGGAAAGTGACGTAAGCGCAAGCCACGAGTGGTTTTGGTTTCTGGCCGATACGTTGAGAAGGTAGTGACGTTTGCGCGAATCTCAAGGCGGTGTAGCGCTAAACCAATGACCTAGAAAGTTTCGTGCCACAAACCATACTCAAACGAAAAATGGGGCCTTAATCTTTTTAATCAGACTATGCGTGCTTACAACACGAATACTAGGTTGTTTGAAGCATAATATTTTAATTTGAAAGGCCACCTGCACCCCTAGCTGATTTCCTAAGACGAAATATTATTTTCCAATAAAAAACTGTTTCAAGATATTTAAAATGATTAAGGGCGTATATTGATGAAGTGTTTTTGAGCCTTACGATAATTGGATTTGTAACAGGTTACGGTTAACCTAAGCGAACTATGACAGAAAGTATTACGAAGAATAGATTTTATCGCTTTACCTTGTTACTTCATACGTATCAATGATCGTTATCAAACCAGTTTGGATCATATAGGAGGCAAAAACAATTAAACACCTCTGAATTTCAGCCAAGCAAAAATTCAAAATTCTTGGGGAAATTTGTACTTTGTTTTCTATTCAGAGATTGCTGGTTCTTTTGTTCAGACAAAATGTGTCATAAATACACTAGCCAGCTTGTTCTAGAATGAGACACCAGCAAGTGGCCTCCACATCTGATCCGTTATGCGTGGTGTGGGGAAAAAGATTCGCCGAAACGCTTGCGTGTTTCTTCTGGCTTTGATCTTTGCGTATGTGTTCTTCGAAGTTGGCATGTTATACCAAGAAAAGCAAAATGAAAAGAGGCAAGAGCAAGAACGCAACAAAGGATCGATGAAAACACACAGGAAGGAATCTGTGAGGGATATTAGTAAAAAACGAGACATAGTTCTCAAGTCGCTAAACGATAAATTGAAAGAAGTAACCGAACGGAAAAGCAATGATGCGATGATCTTGATCGGAAAACTGACGTCATCACCGGAGAAAAAGCCCGCTGAAGCCCGCAGAGTGGAGAGATCAGACGTGTTGATTATTTAAGAAAAAGGAAACTAAAGTTTTCTCAGGCGAGAAAGAGCCGTGGGTGGCGATGTTCCGCAAGAAACACCACAGGAATGACAAATAACTAAACGTTACGACAGCTCATTGCTAGTAATTTTTAGTGACAAAGCGAAACAGCACTTGTTGTAAGAATATGAAACCAACTTCGGCTTCGTACAAACCTTGTTTCGAGGCTACAGAGCAGGGCACCAAAGTAATAGAGCACTGGGAACCAGTTTGAGTCTCGCAAATACGCAGTCAAACCACCTAAAAAGGACAGAAAAGGGACAGAGCCAAGTGACAGATTTACAGAGATGTATGATTGAAGCGGAAATTGAACTGCAATCGCGATGAAGCATGGTCTGACATAACTTTGGGACAGGATAAACTGTCCATGATGGTGGAATGTCAGTGTATGGACATGTTACACTGCAGTCGCTGGTGCTGTTGATGATCATCATTTCTTTGGCCGCGTGTTGTCCAGCGAAGAACGGTATACAGTCATTAACACTCAAGACAGGATATGGTACTTTATTTCAACTTACTTTGACGGCGTTATACATAACAGCGAAGACATACAGGGTAAAATTTCTTACAGTGACAGAGATGGTTCGACATACATTACACCTAAAAATTTCCAGGTTAAAGCTTTCTATAAAATAGTACAGCAAAAGAAAGCTTTAAAAGAAATTTGACTCAGCGTAGTTAAAATATTCAACTTCCTTAAAAATAAAATGGGAGACAGATAAATAAACATCAACTGATAAAATTGTTCAGCGGAACACGTTCGCTTCCAAAGTCAGTTAAGGGGAAATGTAACTATGGTTACAACCTCATTGTGTATTAGCTTCCCACGCAGACGTTTTTTGACTCGTCACGCAATCCTCTCCAACGAACGAACGGGGAAGGAACGCGTAATGAAGCCACTAGAACGTCCGCGTGGGAGAATAATGGTGTATTCATTCAAGTGAAGGCTGTTTAACGTCGTTTCGCGTGGTATTATTTGCAAAATGGAGTATATTACAAAATGAAATTTGGAATTTTCCCAAAAATAGGTCTCCCTGGCGCTCTAAGTTTTAGAGTAGAACTGTGATTTTCTTTCCTTGTGACCCAAAAACGTCTTATAAATAAAAGCGTTCTTCACTTACTACATATCAAAATAATAAACCCAGACTAAAATCTTCCAAAGAACATTTTCTATAGAATAGTGCAGCAAAAGAAAGCTTTAAAAGAAATTTGACCCAGCGTACTTTAAATATTCAACTTCCTTATACCCAGACTAAAATCTTTCAAAGAACATTTTCTATAAAATAGTGCAGCAAAAGAGAGCGCGTGGTATTATTTGCAAAATGGAGTACATTACAAAATGAAATTTGGAATTTTCCTAAAAATAGGTCTCCCTGGCGTTCTAAGTTTTAAAGTAGAACTGTTATTTTCTTTCCTTATGACCCAAAAACGTCTTATGAATAAAAGCGTTCTTCACTTACTACATATCAAAATAACAAACCCAAACTAAAATCTTTCAAAGAACAAGGGTAAACGTTAGAATCCACTCAGCCCAAGTTGACAAGATTTTACTTGACATCTACCAAAATATATTCTACTTGGTCTCTCGGTCCCACTGCTTTAACAAGTAAAATGAAATGCTGTTTCGTCTTCAATGAAATTGGGAAAAAACATAACTGTTAAATGAGCGAGTAAAATGAACTACATGTAAGCCGAAAGAAATGGTCGCGACTCCACTTATTCATTTGCATGGACTTGATGTTACACGAGTCGATTCGCAAAGACGATCTTCGGTGCAACACAGCGCTGCAATGTTGGAACAATGTTGCAATGCTGTGTTACGCTAAAAATCGTGGGGTTACGTCATTTTTATTATAAAGGTTAGTGATTGTTCAAGTAGTCTACCACGCAGCCGTTTTCGTCTTGTCACGCAACGCTCCTTTACGAGACGAAACGAAGCGACTGCGCATGAGACTACTCAAGGGGCTTGGTCACATCTCTATACAAATCTGACAAATGGGAACAAACTTGAAAAAAAAAAGGGCGGCCGATGTTTTTCCAAGTTAACCTGAATGCAATCCGTTTAAATCTTTTAAATTTTTGCCCATCCGTACTCCTGTTTACGTCAAGCTATATTCATTTATTTTGTGTCTTCTCTACTTCCCTTGCGATCTTCTACGCTCTGAAGCAGTTACTTTCATATTTTAGCCAATTTATGATGATTTGGTAAGTGCAGCTAGTGACTAATTTAGAGCGTTTTCACTCACGTGGCCAGCATCTATGGAAATTTATTGGAACAAAAGAAAGCGTTTACCTAAGAAAAGAGTTCAATTCCCACCGGATTAGTTTGGAACACCAACATTTCCATCGTTGCATTGTTTTGGAATACTACCAATATGGCCGCAATGTGAAAACGCTCTTAGAGGTGTGACCCAACCCCTTTAACAGGCCAGCAATGTTGTCAATTCCTACATGTTAGAAACCATTTGAACGCTCTTAAGAACAGGTGTTCCGTCGTCTTGATCTGAAGGTAGCTCAGATGTCGGACGTCCTTTGTTTTGCTGGGAAACTGTTCCAGATGTGACTTCATCATTTTGCTGTGCGGACTCTTTCTCTACTTTCTCATGAATTTCAACATCTTCAATCACAATCCCGTCGGTGCCCTCAATATTGTGGACATTATCGATTACTTTTTCGACAACAAACTCCTCTCTTCCATAACGCCAGATAAGAGTGCCGAAGGTTAGGAACGCGACTATGGAGGGAATAAAGGCGATACCTTTCAAAGCAAGAGCGAAGTTGAGGTATTTTGAGTTCATACGCGGATCGGTTTTGAAGTAGCTTTTGTTGGTGGTCGGGTTGATATTCTGTGACCTCCAGTCATAAGACAGCATGGTTTGGTTTGCAGTGTTCAAAAAGCTTTGATCCTGAACAGAGTAGATGTAACCTTCGGAATCGGTGTACTGACCAAACGTGAAAGGATCGTAAAAAATCTGGTTTTTCCACATGTTCAGGTCAAGAATTATAACCAGCATTATGATTCCATAGTTGAACCATTTGCCTGTAATGTGAACGTGCCAGTTCTCCTTCTTACAGAAGCGAGGCAACCGGAAGTAGAAAGAGGCGGTGTCGACTCCCGGAAGTTTAATATCCATGTTGCCTTGGAAGTTAGGGAATTCCCAGTCCTGCGTGAAGAACAACACAGCCACTCTTAATCAACAAGTCCCTACAACTCCCTGAGCTGCACACCTAGCTAAGGTGGATTCGTCTTGCGTAGACACTGAGGTGGACATGTTTCTAGAGTCTACATGCAAGACTGACTCTCCTCAAAGGTAAACCCTCTCAACTCTGATACCACACGAAAAGGCACCTCACTGAAAACCATAACCACTTTTAACTGCTACCCTACCGACTAAAGGTAGTCATCTCTCTAAGATGTACATCTCTCTAAGTATGTACAGTACAGCTCGAGGGTGCCATTGCTAGCTACTGACAGAATTCCATGGTGAGGCTACACTGTACTGTACTTTTGATGTCGATATAGTTTGTGCCTTCCTTAGATGGACAAAGTTAGACAAGGAGACTAAGGCTATGAGTAAAAACTCTCCAAAGTCGTGGTCACCTTTCTGAGAACTAACACACCTCTCTGTTGATATTGCCCTATTTCCATCAAATTTCAAGGTTGTAGACTCTGTCATTTGAAGGTACATATTATGGGATGTTTCTGAAGGTTGTTTCTGTTCTCATGCTGACTATCCTCTAAAAACAACATCTCTCTAAGATGAACACTGTCTATTCTATAAAGATAAGATCTTCGAATTTCTTAGGCACCACTTTGATGGACTAACTCATCTTTCTGTAAAGCAGACACCTTTAAATGTACATCTGTAAACCAAACTCTAAGGTGAATCTTTCTTTTTTATCTTTCTGCTCTTCTTTTAGAATTCTTTACAATCACCATAAAGAACCTGTGTTAGGTACATTTGCAGCTAAATCAATACATACGCAATGGTGTACATTTTATTCTAAAAACTCAAGAAAAGAGTGGACATCATGAGTGGACATCTGTCTGCCAAGATAGTGTACCCTTCTACATGTACATTTATTTTTGTATCTTTAGTAGTAAACAGCATCAACTGTTGCTTGGTAAATGCTGAATAATTAACTGATAAACATGTTAAACACTTGCAAGTAACAGTTTGATGGTGAACTATTGCTCATCAAGTTTAACCCTTGTTCAACAACAGTTATGATCTTCAATTGCCTTTAACACGGCATAAATAAATACCATGGCTAAAAAAAAGAAAACCATAATTTTAGCTTCTCCATTCAACAAGCAGCTATCACATTAATACTTGGAATTTTATTTGTCTTGGAAAACTGGGCAGGACTTTTCTTTAGCCTTATGCCACAGCACTCTGCGGTCTCAAGAAAAGGTGCAGTGTTATTTTCCTGATAAAAAAAATTTATGTTAAATAGTTTGTGTCTTAGGCCATTGAGACAAACACCATGTATTTAAGGCAGAAACCACCTGACGTTGTTCAACCTCTAGGGTGACATACTGGAATCTGACATAAAAGTACCTCACAAATTCGTCTTTAGTGTATGCATATATATATAATTATGTCACCTTATATTAACATACCTGCATCACAATCAGCAAATCCATAACAAGAATGAATGACGCCAAGAAGGCTCGAGATAATTCATTGGTGGAAACAAAATCCCTGTTCAGAGTATCCCATCTGACAAAATCAGTAATGATTCCAGTGGCAACAATAGCAGTAGCAACAATCAACACAATCCAGAACATATAGATACGAGTCCAGCCAGTTTTCCAAATTTTTCTCAACCAAACATTCCAGTGTGGATAAAGTTTGTCCTGAAAAGTTTCAAGCACCAAGTTAAAAGTTTGGCCTTCCAATGGAATCTTTAGCAAATTGAACACTGCACTGTTTGTTTCTTTACTCAAGAAACAAAGTTGCACGTTGTCTCCATCCAGTGAAAAGTAAAGAAAAAATGTGGGTGAGGTATCATGTCATTTCATTACACAAAAAATTTTCAAGAGACTGTAAACGCTTCCTCCAATCAGGTAAGTTAAATACATGTAGCTGTCTGAAGGTGAAATAAATGTAAAGCTGTGGGTAACTCTGTAATGTACAAGCATCCAATCCGGCGGGGTAATATTAACTCAACAGGTAAGTACTGTACTTAGTACTTTAATTTACAGGTTACAGGTTACATGTGTACTCTGTCCAGCACGCAAAGAAAGCTGTTTCTAATAGCCTGGGGCTGGAGGATTTTGCAATTGGACTAGTGAATTCTGTTCTTAGCTTGCCTAAGGGGTGAGTAGTGCTTCCTTTTTTTTTTCTTTTGGGGGGGGGGAGGGGGAGGGGGGGGAAGGTGGGCTATTTCAATCTGGAGGCCCCAAGTCCAATCCTTGCCTTAACTTCCAGCTGGATTTGTTCTCAATAGTCCTGAGTTTAATTCCTCAGTCACACTTGTAAATAACCAACTGGTTTGCCTAGAGCCATTTGGGATACTTAACACACACATCCCTTTTATTTGAGATGATATTTAAATCATTTACTGTAAAATTCCCAAAATAAGCCCCTCCATGTATAAGGCCCTCCAAATATAAGCCCCCCAAACCCGGTAACGCAAAAGACCCTCCGTTAAATCACCCCTCCAAATATAAGCCCCCCAGGGGCTTGTACTTGGAGAATTGCCCTCAAATACAAAGTAAAACAAAGCAAAAACGGTAAATGTACTTCCAACCATAAGGCTAGCCCAATTGGTTCTGAAATGCAAATTTCCGTCCGCAGATAAACCCCTCCAAAAATAAGCCCCTCAAAAAGGGCCTTTGAAAAATATAAGCCCTGGGGCTTATTTTCAGAATTAACCCATGTAAAATTAACCCATGTAAAATTCCCAAAATAAGCCCCTCCATGTATAAGGCCCTCCAAATATAAGCCCCCCAAACCCGGTAACGCAAAAGACCCTCCGTTAAATCGCCCCTCCAAATATAAGCCCCCCGGGGGCTTGTACTTGGAGAATTGCCCTCAAATACAAAGTAAAACAAAGCAAAAATGGTAAATGTACTTCCAACCATAAGGCTAGCCCAATTGGTTTTGAAATGCAAATTTCCGTCCGCAGATAAACCCCTCCAAAAATAAGCCCCTCAAAAAGGGCCTTTGAAAAATATAAGCCCTGGGGCTTATTTTCGGAATTAATTTTTACGGTATTACAGATATCAATCTAAATCTTGTACCTGAAGCATCATATCTGTAACCATCCAAGCTGTCACAAAATCACCCATCCATGTTCCCAAGCCTGCTGCCTTCATGAAGTTGTCATTCTGGATGCCAAGATAGGTGGTGATTTTATAAAGAGAAAGTTCATCTCCTCCAGCTCTCAAAAACCCATTATAGATGAACGAGAAAATGAACAGTGACAACAATGTGCTTAAAAACATCACCATCCATGTGCCACTATCTCGTTTGAACATTGTCAGTTTCAGCCAACGGTTGAAAACAAGTTTGTGAAAGAAAAACTTTCCCACCAGTAAGCCAACAACTATTGCTGCAAGCCACATTAACACTTTTAAGACAGACCATCCTCCAGGTGGGTACCTATAGAAAACAAAAGAGCACTGAAATTAAACTGTACACAACAGACGTCTCACCTTTAGCTGGTCAGCAATCAGAAAGTAATGAACAAACAAACAAACTAAAGAACAACAGGTAACGTAACAAGTAGCCAGTAACAAACAAACTATTCAAACAAAGTTTTCATGCATTTTTTTTTTTTCATGCATTGGTCTAATGTGTGTTGTTCATTTTGTATGCATGTCAGTTGTTTGTCCCAAGTACATGTATTGTATAAATTGGTATAATTTGTCTTCCTGGTTTTTTCAACACTAAGCTTATCTTAGGAAGCTGATATCCCTTTGCTTACAGGCCGCTTTTCTGCAGTCCACCATCTTCATCACCATATGTTTAATCCATTGGTTGGAGACCCTCCACTTTCTTATTAATAATGTATTATACCTGTATAGCCTGTATACCTCCGCCCCGACCCCCACCTAGCCTGCGTAGCAGGTGTTAAAGGGGGGGGGGGGGAGGGTAAGGAAGAAAAGAAGGAGAGGGGATTGGGGAGAGAAGGAAGGGAACGCCTTCTATAATAAACCCGTTTTGTACACCTCTGTGGACGCTGGTGTCCGCAAATTCTGATTGGTTGATCAGACGATAGAACAAGCTTGTTCAGCAAACCAAACTGGCTATTTCAGTTAGCCTGCATCATGTTATCAACCATTTTTGGAACGATGACTTCTCCGTTAGGATTCAAAATCATTGCCGGTGCCTTAAGCTGAGTGCTTGGTTTTTGCATAATATCTTCTATACTACAATAATTCAGCAAAACATCAGCAAGCGATCTTGTCCAGCAAGTGTCCATGTTACTTGCTCCGGCGTCTGCATCTAAAATGTTTCAATATCAGCAATTCCCGATTCTGCGTCGGATGAGTCACTCACCGTCGAGCTTTCTGCAAACAAGGTCTTTCTAGAATTAACCTTTCCAGGATTTTTCTCTTTCAGCTTTTCAACGTCAGATTCGAGACGTTTCTTTCTTACATCGCTTCTTTCTGGCGTGATAGTGGTGGGAAGCTGTCTTTTGCTTCGACCTTCCACAGCTTCTCAATGTAAATCTTCCTGGACAATAGTGTTGCTTACAGCTTTCTCGATGAAACTGTACAGTTGAGCTGTGTTTCTAATTTGGGAGCACAAGGTCTGCGACCTGTTCTGACAATTTTTTGTTTCTGGTCAATCGCAACCCAACAGAGCCACAACAATGAGCTAAAATCAGCCCCGCACTTTCAACTCTACCCGATGGCGAAAATTAATTTTCAAACGAGGCTCGTCCTCCCCCAGAAGTAAAGTTAACTCCACAAACTCTTCAACTGCTATTTTTTTAAACGTTAACATTTGGTTTCCGTCCCCTTTTACAAATTTTTGTGTGAGTTGCGGCGCCGAAATTCTGTTGCGAAGATTTTCTCATGCTCTAAAGCTACGAAACCGCCTTTGGCGATACATTCCTGCGTGAAGTCAGTCATGCAGAAAAGCGTGCGCCTGATTCTGATTGGTCGTTGAAGTGACAGCTGGGTTAAGACGTGGCTTTTGTAGCAGGCATTCCCTTCTTCTCCTTCTTACACTACCCCCTCTCCTTTAAAGGCTGCTATGCAGGCCTTACCCCCACCCCAACACCCCCACCCTTAAGAATCTCCACCATAAACAGCCATCTAAGGTCTGCTTGTTTGCTCAGGGGAGGTGATAGCTTACAAGAATCAGATCACATCTATCAGGAACAGGTAAGGGAACAGGTAACTCCTTAGCTTTTAAGGCAAAGAGAATTTAATACACACAGGTATTTTTGAGTGACAATAAAAGTGCACCTTAATAACTGACAGTGGTAATTTTTGAGAGGTTGATGTACCAATGTAACAGATTCAACCACACTGTACAGGACACAGCAATGACAGAAGCCTAGCTTACATTATTGTTACTTTTAGTAGCATTACCTGTAAGTAACAAAGGCAAAGTCATTCCCTACCACAGGAATAGTGCAGTTGGCTCTACTGTGTGACACAGGATCTTCTGCATAGATTAAAAAGTTGCAGAAAATAACGAAATAGGCCACAAACAGTCTTGCATATGGATGTTGAAAGTAATATCTGCCATTCTTTTTCTGGATGCGAACTTTGTGTTTGACCTTCTCTGTTTGCTCAATCTAAGGGGACAAAAAGGTACAACCATAAAATTGGATAATCTTAACAAGCCACTACCATTCGTTCAATATGACTAAGAAAGCCATCAATACATGTAATGTGATAAGCTATGGATACAATGCATTGCAGATCACCACTTCTTTAATACAATGTACAAATCGGGTGTGAAACAAGCAAGTACAAAGTTGATCATTGAAATGGAGGCCACATCAAATACAAGAAGCCAGAAAGGAAGGGACTGCTGTTTGACAACTGCACCAAGGATATCTTTACAAAACTGCATAAAGGAGATTATGTTGATTCGAACAAAGAGAGCTCAGACACTGGAGCTCATTTAAAGAGAACATGAACAAGATATCAAAAGCGATGTTGATTAAAATTCACCTGAAATCCCCAAAGGCATACTTGTCCCAGAAATGTGACAAGCCCGCCCTTGATTAATTTTTTTTTTGGCCATTATTACCTCCTAAAACTAAACATTATTGTTTTGCATGCTTGTTTCACTCAGTCTTTAGCAGAAAAGCCTTGCCTCAATGAGTGAAATAATTTCCTCATGTATCATTGGGTCAACTTATAAACAGTGTAACAATTATTCTAATTAGCTGTTTTTTTATTACCTTAAACATACATTATATACACTTTATGATCAAAATCTGTAGTATGTAACATGGTACATGTATACTGATTTGTCTTCAAGCACAGCCATTATTTTTGTTTGCTTGCTTCTAGTCATCTATACTAATTTTATTTAAACATCATTACATTAGGGTTGTCTGGATGGCAAGGCTTTAACAAAGCCCTCATTTTTTCCGCATAAATATTTTCTAGATTTTTTTTACTGTATAGATAGATGTTTCATCTGTTCCACTGATCAACTGACAGAAACAGGCTGGAACAGATCAGGCAAGATTTCCGCATAGCCCCATTCATGCATCATACCGGTATTTATTATGCACTGTTTATTTACAAGGAATTACTATCAGAATCCATACAGTGTGTATACATGTAAGACCGTGCGGAAATCGGAACATAATAAAAGGATTGCGATTCTTTAACAAATTTAAGGCAAATTGCTTCTTTACCTAAGAAGCCATAACGCACAAACATGAGAGAGGTTGAAAGCCATGGACCAAACAAAAACAAGCTTTTAATAAGCTAAACACGGAGACATGCCAAAGCTTTCAATGCAATTGCAGAGATCATGGTATAAAATTCGAAAATATGAGCTTGATATTGGCACTTTGAATTTCACTGGAAAGAATGTTGCATCGCCTTATGACACACCAATTACTACTTTGACAATAAACAGACCTTATGCACTTTTCCGAAGTATCCTCACTAAAATCCTCATTCAATTAATTTCCCGAACACCATGAACTTACCAGTTGAATGGATGGAGATCCCTCAGCGAGGTCCCCGGACTTCTCGGCAGTTTTAACATCGTGGTTCTCAGCCATCTTTCCAGTCCGTTCTTCGGTTCTTAACGACAGTCGATGCTAAGTACTATGTTCACTTAAATTCATTGTTATTCAAAGCTTACAATCCATTAAAAGCGAGTTGCAGATACTAGAAATTTCCATACAGTCACACACCTGTACAGAGCATTGCTACGTTATGTATGCTGACACCAAAAATTTCAACACAAAACTCACTTGAACCCAGTCTCTAACGTGATTCTTACCGCCGCGAAATGCATTGGAAAGCCCTCACAAACGACACAAGCAAACTGCGGATAATGCAATTTTAAGACGCAAATGGAACTTTAAGACACAATCTTATACGTGAAAGAATTTAAAAATAGCTTTATCATGGTAAGCGAAGATAGCATGGTTCTCCATTCTATGGTCAACGTTCAACAGTCTGGTGACACCCTGGGGTGACAAACGTCCAAACTGGTCGGCCAACACCGTCAAAAGTTGACCGGGTCAAATTTGCGGGTGGGAAAATGGTCAGCAACCCGCCAAAATTGTTTAAACATTGGCCGACACAACAGTCGCTGACTTAAAATTGTGGGGAAAAAAGGTCAACAAACTGCCGACAAACGTTGAAACGTCGCAAACTACCAAGTGAAGAGGCTAACAGCCAGGCGGAATCACGTCGACCGACAAAGGACACAAAGGGCAAAGAATTCAGACCAGAATGTTTTGTTATGATAAAAATATTCTCGACTTAGGGCCTGTTTACTTGGAGGAGGGGGACCCCAGGTAGGAAAGGTAACCCGCTAAGGCTGGGTACCAGCCTGTCCACATAATCTCTCACTTTAATTTGATAACGTTTACATGATAGATGGGGTGACTCGCCAAGGTGGGTAGCCCGGTCTACCAGACCGGGTAACCCTCTCAGCCGGGGTCGGATTCGCGATACTGAATTCGCGCAAAATTCACTTTGGCGGTAGCTTTGCATCATTATTAAAGGTAACAATAGAAAGCCACAGCACTGGAGGTTGCAGCAAGAGCAGCAAGTGTAGAAGAGCATCAATCACCAAAAAACGTGGTTTGTCAGCATTTTTCTTGTTTACGTGCTTAGCGACCATTCAGTAATCTTGAGAAAGTGCACCTCGGGAAGGCGGGGTTGTAAGATTGCATGTAAAGGAGGGTTATTTTTTTACCCCACCAAAGGGGGTTACCTAACCTATCTGGGGTTCCCCATCTTCATGTAAAAAGGCCCTTACAGAATTGCCCTGATAATTATAGAGAGAAAAATACTTATACCCATTCTTTAAGTACTTTGACCGCGTTATGCACTCTCCGAGTCATGCTCTCTTTGAGATCGTGGAATATACATTGAGAACATGACTATAAAGCCGCCTGGTGAACCTGTCACACCTGGTCACAGCCAAGATAAAAAAGAGTTTGATCTTTATCTTGAAGGTCTTTTTTTCATCGTCCTTTATTTTTCGGTTAATTTCGGATTGCTACGGGACCCACGGAAAACAAGATCCTCTAAAAGCACGTGCGGTATTAAATGTAGACACCCTGCAAAAGTCTAACAACCTTATCATAATATATTTTTAGCGTTTTTTCCACCATATTTTTTTCTGCTGATTTCAGATTAGTTGATGATTCGTAGTGGAAGATATTCACGTTCCGCCGGGGGGTGCGAAATCCTTTCCTTTTTTGTTCTGGTAATTCTAAAGGCCTTGAAGAGAAGCAAGCTTTAATGTATAGATGAGCAAATGCCGTTCACCCAGTCTTGTGTTTGGTCTTGTGTTTCTTATGTTTCTTGTGTGTTTTGATTTGTTCTTCAGATGACTGTGCCTTTCTCTTGGTGCTTGTCACACTAATAACATTCACGTTACTCTTGCCACTGCTCAAAGCCTCCTGCCAGTCTTCTTCTTTTCCTGATATCGCAAACCTAAGGAAAAACCGACACCAAGATAAAATCACTAGAAATCACGTGACTTTTTTTTAAGCTTGGTACCAAACTCTCGGGGGAGGGGAAGGAAACGCCACTTACCTCTCCCCATCCCCACCCCCCTAAAGCCTGCTTTTTGTTTTCCCATCGCAGGTCATGTGATATTACTCCAGAGAACTGTTTCATTCAAATTTCGTCTCATTCGCGTACATATGTACGCTTTAATAACTTACGAAAAGAAAAATGGGAAATTAACCCAAAACCTTTACTGAAAAAAAAACAACAACAACAACAAGCTTAAGAGGTCTATTAAGGTAAGCTTCCTTTACTTGTTAATTTATTTAGCTGTACAGTCTAGGGTACCCACATGCAATGGGAATCATAAATGTTTCGTATCGTGGCCTTTCTGTCAGTTATAACGGGAGTACATATTGCATCGGAATGCTGTTCCGTACGTGTCACTATTCGCCATTTTCAGATTGCCCGCGAGACCAAGTCGGTGTTGCCTCGAAATTGAATAGGGGGCTGTTTTGGGGACATGGAATTTCCGGCGTTTGAGTGAACACGAATTAGCCGAAAATGAAATATTTCTGCGGCACGGGAGCAGTGGGGACTGGGGCAGTTGAAGTGCAGTATAGGTAGAATGGACTGCTATAAAAGAGATGCTTATCACGTGGGAAGCATTCTGGGCGGCACCTCGTTTAGCGCACGTTAATTTTTATCTATTTACTTTTTATATACATTTAATTTACTAAGTGACAGATCGAGTTTCGCGATTGAGTTCATAGTGCTTTGCTGGAAAGACGTTTGAACCGTGCAGCCTTCGTAGGATGGGCTTTTCAGAGCATGAGCCACGGATCCTACCCAGTTTTTTCCCTACTGGGTTTTTTTCCGGCCTCCGTTCTGAGAGTATTCTTTGTTAACTGTCGCTCAGCTCTGGTCTAGTTTAACTACGACAGTTTTGAATGTAATAGAAGTTGTAGCATAACGTATTGATATAGCACTTGGTGCTCGGCCGAAACAGCCAAAATAAGCCTAATGATCTTCGATTCATGTTGTACTGCGTGGTGGAGCCGAAATGCTATTTCTTCTTTCATCGGCCATTACGAAGTTGTGACGGAAACTGGGTCCAAAAATCACCCGTCCCTTAAGGCAGTCCCATAAAGCAATGCGATACAACGACGACCCAGTCCCAAGCGCCTCAAAATGGCCAATCACTGGGAAAAAGAATTCCACTGTTTATTTCGGGGTTTTATTAAAAATAAGGGTTTTACTGAAGAAAGGACGTAAACCTACTCGCTGAGGTCAAGATGTTTAAGCTTCTCCAATTCTTTCTTCTGTTTCTCTTTCATTTCCTTTGCTGCTTCTTCCTGTTGAAAAATAGGTATTTAAAAATAAAAAATAAATAAATGAAATTATAAAATATTAAATTTGCAGTACCATAGTACCAAACTCTGCAGAGAAAAAAGACACGTAAAAAAAAAGCGCACGGTGCACGATGATCGTCCCAAGCCACCTTACTGTTCTCCTCTCCCCAGCTGGCCGCTGCGGAGGACATACGAGCAGATTCTCTTGTAGGAGAGCGGACACTATTACCGCGGGATTTTTGAGACTGCAGTGAAGTCGGCGAGAAACGCTGGTGAGGAAGAAATGTCCTCGTTTCTAATACCCCTACGGGTGGTTAAGTCTTCTCTTAACCTTGTCAACAAGGTAAAAAGTGCAGACTACAAGACCATTTCCTATAGTTCAAATAAACAGCCTATAAACAAACCGGGACTGAGGTCTATTGACTATCTAAAGCCGCGGCGTAACTAAGCCTTGATTTAAATTAACAGGGTCGCATATGTTACTATTTTTGTATAGTGAACTCGGCTGGGGTGGAAAGCACTCACCAGATCTTCTTGGAGTCCTTGAGCTAATGGTTCCATTGTTACTTCTTTTGACTTCGTAACTTGACTTTCAAAGGCGGATTCTAGAATTGCGTTAAAACACTACAAACAAAAATTTAAGCCAGAAGTGAGCCATCCAAGAGAGGTCGGCAGAATTTAGACGGTGTTTAACAAAATGGCATTGTAAACCGTCTTGAATTTAGCCAGCCGTGATGTCTAAATATTACATATTGTTAAAAAGTATCAATAACGCCTACATCTGGGTAGTGACACGTCATCAGAATGGAATTTCTACGCTCGTTTCCTGAGACGCCATTTCGCGGGAAACCGCGCTATTGGCTCGGCGAAATGTAGGCTGCTTTCTAGCCAGCGAGAAAGCTCTCCATCTGGGGGATTTATGAAAAGTCACCTGAGAGCAGCACACGAAAGGTGACGAGAGGCACGGCGAGGGGCGGCTCGCTCGCGTGTTCTCTCGCGGCTCGCAGGCTATGTGAAGGCTACTGACACACAATAGGAACATTTTTACCTGTACAACTTTCCTTATTGTTCTGTTGAAGAGACCAAGCAGCTGCGAAGAGGGCAATTCTAATTCTTTCTACAAGAAGCAAACATAGGAAAACATGTTATATGCTGAAATTGACCGTGATAATTCGACTTAAGATCTTATTAGTACCTCAAGGGTTTCTATGGTCTTGTGTTGTAGTCCAAGACCGAGTAGAAGAGCCTGTTCAAAAGAAAGAAATAATTAGCAAGTCAAACAGTAGAGAAGGAACTCAGCAGAGGAGATCAGACACCGAAGTCAATGGCAACGGAAATTTTCTTTTTATTTCACCACCTTATCCTGACATGGTAATAAATTACAGCAATCCGTTAGAATATGGCAACAAAGCCCAAAGGAACCATTAGGCATATATAACGTGGGATTTCCCTATTATTTAATTACAAAAGATAAACTTAATATTATTTAAATGAACGGTGAAGGCAAAGTAACAATAATAGGAAGGAATAAGGTATAAAAAAAAAAAGAGATAAAGAAAATACACACAAAAAAAACACAAAGCTGACAAAGGGAGGATGAAGGGGAAGGAACAAGTTAAGTAAGAGGTGTTTCTACAGTTTTTTTCTTAAAGTTATGTTATACGTGAGTTAGGCAACTTACGGACTGCACGGCAGAAAGATCAAAGTCCAGCTTCTGAAGGAAAAAGAGCCTGGAAACTGTGAAGGCAAGAGATGTGGGGGATCAGTTTAAATGAAGTAATTTTACTTTCCGTTACATTGTACTTCCCCGCAATACTCTTTTCATTATAACGCTTTTTAAAACTTTTACCAGGGATAATAAGCGAGTGTTGTGTACAGCTTCATATACCTGTGAACTTAGTAAAGCTATGTACAGCTCCGTTAAGCGGTGCAATGCAGTAAACAACCTCCTTCGAAGGGTCTTTCAACTCCCCACCCTACAGAATGTGACAGAAAGAAGACAACGTTGCTAAGCAAAGCGGCGAAAAGCTTGGTATAACGGCCTGCGGTTCCCTATAGCGGTGCACAGCTTGGTATAAAAACGTTCTTGACCAATCGTGAGGTCATGATGGCGGGGTATTGACCAACTCCTTATTTTTGTATTTTAGTGGACCGAGACGGAGATAACGTCCATAAAGACACAAAAAAAATAAAATGAGGCTTCATTGATAGAGGATTAATTAATGGCCAAAAAAATCTTTTTTTTTTTTCTTACGTGGGAAATCCCGAGCGGGCAAGATGAAGCCCATCTCGCTCGCTCAGTTGGCCAATCAGAACTCAGGATTCGCTTCACCTTGCCTACTCACGGAAGCAGTCATATAAAAAAAGCTGTGTATAGTTGCGTACAGCAAAGTACACCCCTGTCAGTATAGACGTGTACAGGTTGGTATAGCTTTCAGCAGCCCAGTAAAGCGGTCTGCAGCTCTGTATAACAATGTCTAGCTCAGTATATCTCGGCGCAACGGTAAATCTCTTTATAGAAGTGCATAACTCAGTATAGTGGTGTATAGCTCAGTAGTTTTAGCAGGATTAAATAACCATTAATTTTGTTTATGCTCCTTTACAAAGTTGAAAAACTAACGATGAAAGAGAATGCCCAGGGACACAGTGCCTATAAGCCCATTACTGATAGACAGTCAAGCCAGACAATTCATAAACTCTTAATCTCTTACCTGCTGGGAGTAGATCTGTAATAAGATGATAGTCCACCATGTTGCGTGAATAAAGGTCCAGTCTTTTTATGTCGTAAGTCGTAAGTACTGCTTCTAAGTCTCCTTTTGTTAAACCTAAAAAGCATCCACAGTGAGAATCCTTTCCTCCAGTGGTTCAACTACTTTTCCCTTTTGACGATAGTTTTTACCTGGTCATGGTGAAATATATTCAGCTAGCCTGCTAACAAGCTCTCTGGTGGGCTCTATTCCAGTCCCCAACCTCCAGAGCCCCCCAAAGAGCTAGCGGGATTCTGGATTCCTTTAGCTGAATCCCGGGTGCTGTCACCCGCCCCCAGGGCACCCCAGAGAGCTAACGTAATTCCGTTTTCCTTTAGCTGAATCCCGGAAGCGGTCCCTCGCCCACAGAGAGCTTGTTCGCAAACTAAAATTCAGCCCCAGCTGCTTTTCAAGTCGCCGGAGAAAAATTTGAAGAACTTCAAGAAGGGAGTGTTCTTTATCTCTTCCATTTTTGAGCTAATGGGGCAATAGCATCGAGTCCACTGCGGCATCCTGATGGTCATCATTACCTTTCTTCTCTTCTTTAACGCTCTTATTCTTCAGGATACTCAACGCCAGTGACGGATGAAAACTGCGAAATTGGTAGGAAAGAAGCGACAGGAACCTTCTGCGGAAGTCTGGACAAGAAGTAAAATAAACACGCATATAAAACTAGCTCATTACACGTAAATAATCAAATGAAACGAGTTATTATTCATTCAATATATTTCTCAGTTTCTGATTGGCTAAAATCCCACGCATAATTCGTCATAACCAGCTACTGTCGACCAAATTTGGAAGAAATGTGCGGTATGTGAAAAATAACGTCAATTGTGCAACAAAATTCCCAGATTATTGAACAGTTAACTGAGAAGACCCGGGGATGAGGTTGAGTTGTTTTGGTTTTGAGTACAAAATGGCGGAACATTTCACTCACTTCACGAGGAAGAAATAGGCGAACTGTTGGATAAAAACATAGCAAGAACAGCACGAAGACAACTCGAGGGACGACATCTGCTATTTGGAGAATATTTGCAGTACTGAACAACCCTTAATCTCCTAAACTTGCCGAAAAACAGGTAATTGAAGATGAACTTTTAACATCGATGGAGGTAAGCATGTTTTAGCTTGTTTTTCAAACTAGAAATTATTTTAAATGAATAATAAAACAATTATTGAATTCGGCTTTCGTATCATCTGAAGAATTATGGAGGGTGTTAATCCGCTTCGGCGGATAAACACCCTCCTCGATCTCCACAATTGTTCAGATGATACTCAGCCTCTTCTTATAGTTGTTAATTATTCACATCCTTGAAAGCCAATTAAACTATTCCCCAACAAAACCTAAACTCCAAAATTGCCACGAAAAATTTCATACATGTAAACTGAAGGAGATCGATCTAACACGTGGGAGATCATCGATCACGTGAAAGAACATCATCTTTAATATCTCCACCTCTTATTGGAACATTACGAACTCACGTGGCAAACAGCTCCCAGTCCCCAGTTGGCTTGATAGCTGCTGCGGTATCGCAGAGGTCATGGTTTCGAATCCCGTTCAACTTTCACTTGCTTAAAAACCCTACAGTTTCTGACAGAAAGTGCGTTTAACATGCGCAAAAAGAAAACTTCAAACGAAAACAAAAAAGCATCTCCTTTTAACAAACATCATGGAACTATGCACTATTGCAACGTACATTACGGACTTCCGCACTTGACTTTCACTTATCCCGTTGATAAATACAGTTCAAAGTGGTCAGTGGATAATCATCCATTATACTTGACTCTTTGTAGGGATATATACTAGGTATTCTTTTTCAATTCACCTGCCATATAAGCTTGAAGCCAGTTCTCTCTAGAGGCCTCTTCTGAGTCATTGAGAAGTCTCAGCATAATACAAGAATGTTCGCCTGTCAAGTCATTCTAAAAATAAACAATACATTGAAAATAAAACTGACAAAAACTCTGCCTCAAAGCAGAAAACCACTTAGGCCTGTTTCAAACGTCACGATACCGCAGTCCGAAGCTTGATCGACTGTAGCACGACTTAGTTTCAGACGTCCAATTAAATACAGTCAAGTTAAGTAGCTGTCGTCGAAAAAAAAGCATACACCTTAACTTTTAAAATGTCTTCTTCTTCTTCTTCTTCTTCTTGACTGCATTTATAATGTTGAATTGAGTTCGGCATGATAGTAGCACGACGTTTAAAGCAAGCTTTATTTGAATGATAAAAATTCCCTCACTTTCCATTCTTCTTAACGAATTTCACCGACATTACGTATCAAAGTTATTAACCTACCGGGGTTTGCCGCAAGTAGACTGGAACAAAGTCTGATTTCTTCCAAAATCTATAACAACAAAAAACAAAACGCAATTTTTTCAATGGCGCAAGAATCCTCCCTTATAACTTGGAAAGAAGCGACTAAAACAAATGTGGCTAGTGCAACTGTCATTTCTTTTAGTTTTGATGTTCTTCATTACGTTGTAGTTGATACATATTTCGTGTACTGGGTACGACACAAAATTGACCAATTTCTATTTACCAGGATGAATGGCACGATACATTAATGCATAAAACTTCAACTAGGTCTTTTTTGCGTTTACGTCTCTAAACTGGTTTGCAAGTACACTGTATGTCTACAACACATGAAACAGTTTGCATTTTCAATTTCAAGGAAGGGGTAGCTGATGGTAAAAAAAAACGACAAAGATGATCGATAATGATGATAAAAATTGGCAGATTTAGCGAAGAAAACGCAACGGTAAATGAGAACGCGAAAACGCGCGGAAAGGACTGGACGCGACTTCCGATGCCGCTCTGCCACTGGTCATTTCGGTTTTTAGATCTGCGCGTGTTGTCTTCAATGTTGTCCCGTTGTCTATGCCAAATCTATCAAAGGACAACAAGGAGAAAGGTAATAGAAAGATTAATTCTTATGGATGAACTTGTCAGGAGATCGCTTATTTTTGTGTAGACTTAATGAACAGTAGACGACAAATAAATGGTAAACTTGGTCACGTGGTACAAATGGCCGTTTGTTGTTTACCTTAAAAGTGATTGTAAATCTCTCCAAAGATAAGGACAACGATAATGGAAGAATGAAATTTAGGGCGTATCGATTGTGTCGTATTCTGTGATAAGAATAAATGGAAAAACTCTAGAAATAAGTTATTTTGGCATTCAGTGCATTGCAATATCTAGAAATCTGCTTGAAGTAAAATATTCTAATGTATGTAGCGTTTATGCAGTCCACAAATCACGTTGCAAGAGATTTGTAACAAAACGTTTGCGAATTCTTATTCCTGAATACAATCAATCAAACGCACCATTAGTGTTTTGTTTTATAAGCCATTTACAAGCTGTATTTCACCGTTTTATTACACGTTATACAATTACCTAAGCAGTTGTCCTGTCAGGCCATATGACACCCCAAGGTAGTCAAGTTGTTCGGCAGGTCTTTCACTCAATTTTAACAACAGAGGCGGTAGATTGCTTTTGGGAGATATGACCTCTTTGAGCAAACCAAAATCCTCGTCCTCAGTTAATGTTGGAATTTGCTTTTCCTCTTTACTCTCCTCAGCTAAACTGGGAATATTTCCTTCATAATACTGAATAAGGAGGTTCATTGCTCGTCGACCATATCCCATCTGTGACGAAAAGGAAAAATGCCAGCATTGAATTTGTTAAGATGGTGCTTTTGAGTCAGCAAATCTCAATCTTGGAATCTCAGTGTCGTTTCTACTGTAAAACAGTATCCAGTGATGGCATTTATCACAAGATAGTACTCTATCAAACACAATCAAGGATGTTTTATGTGATATTAGGGAGCTTAAGCGACAACGATGACGACGGCTACGAAAACGTGACTTAAAAAGTGAATTCGCGCTGCCTCAAACTTTATCGCGCTTATTCCATCTCGTTCAATTCGTCAAATGTTGGCGAATTTTTTCTGGAGTTGAATTCTAAAGGACTGTATCAAAGTTCAGAAAAGAAAAAGGAAGTCGTTGTCTTGTGTTCACGTCCGATACAAAACGTGAAATTAGGCAGTATCACGTCGTACTCGTGCAACGACGGCAAAGAAAGGTACAAAAAGCGTGATGCAAGTGCAAAGGTGTTGTTTTGCCAATCTAAACCCGTTTTCTTTGCCGTTCTTGTTGCCGCCGTCGTCGTCGTCGTTGTTACTTAAGCTCCCTATTAGGAGCAAGGAGTAGTGCAGTCGGCTAGTGTGCGGCCTTATGTACGGGAGGTCCCGGGTTCGATTCTCAGGTGTGACCTCTGATCTTTGTTTCGACTTCTTTCCTTTCCGTGTAGCTTTAAGTAGCTTTAATACCCGTAAGACGGAGTATTGAAGGAGAGGGGGGGTGGGGGGGTGGGGAAGGCAAAATGGGCGCACCGTCGGCCTCAAAGAATTGAAGAGGCGTGGATTTTAAAATAGACTTCAACCTTACTAGTTAGCGATGAATCTCTCGTTGAAGAGTTTGATGTAGCCTCGCCAATCATCAAGGGAAAAGTTCTCAAACGTTTTTTGGAAATTACGATCCGATTTTCCCTTCTTTATGGAGCTTTTGCCGTGAATTCTGTTTATCGACTTTATTATGCTTCATCAATTTGATCTAATTAACTAGTTTTTATTGAAGGTCATAAGTTCATGGGAGTGGATTGTCGAACACTGACTTACAAGCCAAAGGAAACGACGGTTTCTTGCGAGTATCCGCCTTTGCATGGGGTACGAAAATATGATAAACTTTCAAACGCTACTGCCCTGCACCCTTATGCTGCTAAAGTTTGAGGAAATAATACAAAGAAAAATGTACACTATTTGACATTACCACAATTTTCTACCCGCGTCTTTTCGGGCAACAATTTCAGGAGAATGACGAACACGATAAGGTAGAAAAGGGAGAAAATCAGTGGCGGAACAATTGTAAGTAGGCATACCCCTTGGAAGTCAGGATGGGTGGCAATTCGAACAATTCTTCCTCCAGAAAGACCGGCGAAGTCATGATCATTGAACTGCTGTGACACTGTCCAAGGTATCAGATCACCAGATGCTCTTTTGCCACGTGACAGACTGTTCATGATAGAGGACTTGGAAATATCGCCTTCCAAACACACCTGAAATGAGAAAGTGAAACTCAGCTCCTGCCACTAAAAACACAAGTAAACACACCTACTGCCATCATCACCACCGCCGTCACTACCACGACTACCACACTCTCCACCCACACTACCATTATTGCGATCATCATTACTACCACCATCAACATAATCATTACCGCCCTCATCACCACAACCACTATCGCCACCACCATCGTCATCTTCAACAATGCCATCATCACCATAACTACCATCATCTTCATCATCACTGCTACCATCATCATCATCACCACCACCACCACCACCACCACCGCCATCACCACCTCAACAAAACAACCACAACGTCGCCACCATCGTCAAGATCAACACTGGCGATCATTATCAACATCACCATTAACATCATCATCATTACCATCATCATCATCATCATCATCACCATCATCATCATCATCATCATTAATGATCAACACCACCATCAACAAAATTGCCTTCACCATCACCTCTTCTGACACCAACAAGCCATCATTATTTCATTATCACAGCCATATTATCATCATCTTGAATGGTCGTTTCTGGTGTTGCAAAAAGATATCGTTGGTTAGCTACTGTGTTGAAGCGTCGGTATTTTTACAGTGTTTGTTCGATCTTTATTACGTCATTAGGTGAATGCGTTATCTGTACCACAACCATCACAACCATTACCGAGTTCAAGCACAGGACTACTACAGCCTCCACCACTTTCACCTCCACACCATAACCGCAAATAAGTACATGGCGCTTTCCATTTAGTCAAAATTTCCGAAAATTTCGGTTCGGCAGTAAATGGAAAACGTTTGGTCGGTTCGTTCCACTGGAAAAATCCCTGAAAAAATGGAAAAACTAAAANCCACCACCGCCATCACCACCTCAACAAAACAACCACAACGTCGCCACCATCGTCAAGATCAACACTGGCGATCATTATCAACATCACCATTAACATCATCATCATTACCATCATCATCATCATCATCATCACCATCATCATCATCATCATCATTAATGATCAACACCACCATCAACAAAATTGCCTTCACCATCACCTCTTCTGACACCAACAAGCCATCATTATTTCATTATCACAGCCATATTATCATCATCTTGAATGGTCGTTTCTGGTGTTGCAAAAAGATATCGTTGGTTAGCTACTGTGTTGAAGCGTCGGTATTTTTACAGTGTTTGTTCGATCTTTATTACGTCATTAGGTGAATGCGTTATCTGTACCACAACCATCACAACCATTACCGAGTTCAAGCACAGGACTACTACAGCCTCCACCACTTTCACCTCCACACCATAACCGCAAATAAGTACATGGCGCTTTCCATTTAGTCAAAATTTCCGAAAATTTCGGTTCGGCAGTAAATGGAAAACGTTTGGTCGGTTCGTTCCACTGGAAAAATCCCTGAAAAAATGGAAAAACTAAAAAGGTAGGTCCGCTTTCCCGGTTGGAACATTCCGAACGGAATTTCGTCTTCATTTACACGTTTCTCGTACTTCATACCAGTTGCAATAGCGTAGCGCGCGAACGACGTCAAAGTGACTAATTTGCAATTTTTGTCTGAGTTTTGCCATTTTTGTCATTTTAATGACAAAAGACAGACAAAAATGACATTTTAAAAACAAAACTAAGACAAAAGTGAGGAATTTGCTAATGTTAACTTGTCTGAGTGTCGGGTTTATAAATAGTAACTGCGCGCAGCGCTATTGTTACCAACTCGGCAGCCATCTTGGTATCCCGTTGGGTAACGGGCTCGGCGCCGTACAGGGTTACGATTAAATAGAACAACTTTTTACCTATCGGAAAATCCATTTCTGTTTCCACCGAAATTTCCGGATTTTTTATCTAAATGGAAAGCGCCCACAATGGAAACCACCTGATATAAGTGTGTAACAAAGTTACATACCTGCAGGACACAGAAAACTTCAGGTAAGATATTCTGTGCTGGGTCAACAGGTCCCAACAGGCAAAAGATGTGATGCGCAGGCGCATCAGATAATAGCTGCAGGTCGTTTGGAGTGTTCTAGAAAAATACACAATAAAAAGAAGAAATAAAATTCCACGAGCGCAGTAAGAATAGTTGATTTCAAGAGTTTTTCAGTGTACGACGAGTCGACTACACATACGTGTGACTATTTACACACGTGACTAGATCGCGCACCTGTGAGGGGTGTGTCAGAGTGGAGCAGTGTCTAAGCAAACAGTACCATTTCAGGACCAGGGCTTAACTACTGGCCTCCAGATAAAAAGACTAATAAGCCAATTGCTACACCACCGTGACAAACCGTAGGCTCGATTATCGGAAGACCTTAGATAACAATGACCTCAACCAGGTTGGCGTCCAGCGGTTCAAGTCAAAACAAGGGTTGGGTAGGGTGTAGTAGCGCGCAGGGTGACACCGCTCGTGTTACGCGAAGAAGACCGGGGACGAGTCAGGGAAAGCAGCGGAAATCGGGCCTAAACAAACCAAGAACCGATGAGTTTCATAAAGTGAGCCTTGACGTGGGAATGAGTTGTCCTTTGAGATTACACACAACTTTGCAATAACTACCTTGTAATGTGAAGCTACATAGAGAGCCATCAATCTCTGTAAGAAAACTTCAGATGCTTTGTGATACGAGAAAAGAGTGTCCCGGTTGACATAATATCTGAAGGATGCCATTAAGGTCATGTATAAAAAAAACTCATCTCAAACACGGTTCTAAATAAATTTAGACAAGGGATAGCTGATGAAAGAAAAATATCGCCCCTAATCTTTTGCTAGATGCAGGAAGAAAAGGAATCCATTGAGGGCAACTGTACTATTACAGCCAGCGTGGTGACGTATATCGTTCAATAACTTAGCAATGACGTGAATAATCCCACTACATTGTCCTATTAATATTAAAAACAGGCTGCTAAGAGCCATTCAGATTAGAAAATTTTGTTAATGTTATGACACGAAACGAAATATCCATACTTCACTTTTCAAAGTTGGAGAGAGTTCGAGCTTATGTTTCCGGCTTGAGAAAAATAAACCGCGTTAGGGATACTCATTTCGAGTCAACATTGACTTCTCCTCATTCATATTTAATAATTGCAATTTAAGAAACACTCTGATGTCAACATAACCTGCGACCAAGCTCTCCATTTGAGGGATATCGTGAAAATTTAAGAGCGAGCGCCACGAGCGAAAGGAGACGCGAAAAGGACGGCCTTGCTGCTCAAGCTCGCGCGTTCTCTACGGAGAGCCTACTCGCGGGCTAATGTAACACTCGCGTCCACTTGTTCAAGTCGTACAAGTCAAGATTCAAGTGGGAAGAGTCGTCAAATTGTGCAATTAGTTCATGTGGCGAATGTGATACGTTTGAAAGAAAGAAGTGAAGAACATTACTTGGTTGCACCTCCTTAGTGTAGAGAGGGAGGCCCTTTTCCAGTGATACGGCTCGTACAATTCGCGCAACTGGTGAAATGGCATCTCATCAGCGAAATTTTCAAGAACTGAGAGCAGAATTGTCGAGGGGGGACCTTTTCAGTGGTACGACTCGTATAAATCATACAACTGGTGAAATTGCATCTAATTAGCGACACTTGAAAATTGAGAGCAGATTTTTGAGAGGGGTTTTTCGAGCGTTATGAGTCATACAAGTCCTACAACTGGAGAAACTGCATATTATTAGTGCACAGAAACGGTTATAGCAATTTCGATTACACTCTAATATAATAAGCGCTTGAACAAGAACATATATGCCATGAAGATTACTTGTTCTATCAGAAATTGCTACACAAACTAAATACGCCAAATTATACAGTTTAAAAATAAAAAACCATCATGGAACGCCAAAAGGATACAGATCACAGTTTTCAGGCAGTGGACATCCTGAAGTAAGTTTCTGAACCACAGTAGCATCCAAGCACAGTAAGTGATTTAACCATCTCTCCACCTCATCTCCTGGAGCATAACGGATTGACTCGTTCAGTGTTATCTCATTAAGAGTGCGGCCCAGAGTAGTAGAACTGCTTCCTTTGTTTGCAGATTTTGATAATGATGATGATGAGCCTAAAGGTGCACTCTGTTCTCGCAGCTGCTGGATGAGTTTTAAAGACAGAGATCTGCCAGTTCCTTCATACCTACGTAGGAAAATCTACCATCAGATTTGATTTCATCCAAAGTGCCATAGAAACTAACACAAGACACTCACCACTCTTATATTTTCGGTTCGGCAACAGGGATGTTACCAAAATGGTAAACGGGCAACGGGTAGCCTGTTCCAGGCTCCGAGATAGTCGAGTCCACTGAAGCGCGGAGATGGAAAAAAACCGGGAGGAAACTGGGGAGGGGAAGGGCGCCCCGCCAACTTTTCGCGTACCTTTCACTTTTGCGTCTTCCCCACTTTCTGAAAGCCCTCAAAAAAGAGTTAGACCACTCGATGAATCAGCATTCGGAAAGCTATAAAAACCTTTACAGTTGAATCCCTCCACAACGCCCACCTTGGGGACAGAAGAAAGTAGCCGTTGAAAATAAGTTTAAACAAGAGTCAATTTATGGACTGTCCGCAGAAAAAATTGGCCGTTGTGGAGAGGTGGCCGTAGGTGGAGGTTTGACTGCAGCTGGAAAGAAAGTTACTTTGAAATTCCCTTTATTTCAGCACAAATTTCAACCTTACCCGTTGACAGTTGACGAGAGAAAGACAAGATAAGGACCCATGAGATCTTTGACCAGGGGCAAAGGTATAGCAGCAGCCTCGTCAATCACCACTAATTCCGCTTGACCAAGCTTGTGCGCATCAGATGGGTGAATGTACTATAAAAGGAGAGTTGATATTTGTTATTGATTTGGAGGGGTCAAAAAAGTAGAGAGACTCAGAACTTCGCTTGAGGTTATTACCATATGTAACGTAAGCACTGCCATTGTGAAATTGCGGTTAATCTCAAAGAAATGTCCGAGAATGAATAACACGGAAATAATGCGAAATGGCATTATTTCTGTGTTCCCCGTGTCCCATTGTGTCCCCTTGTGTCCCCTGTGCCCCCCAGTGTCCCATGTGTCCAATTGTGTCTCGTGTCCAATTGTGTCCTTTGTGTCCCCTGGTGTCCCCTGTGCCCAATTCTGTCCCTTGTGTCCCCTGTGTCCCCCTGTGTTTCTTGTGTCTCCTGTGTCCCCTTGTGTACCTTGTGTCCCCATGTGTCTCTTGTGTCCTTTTGTTTTCCCTGTGTCCCCCTGTGTCCCCTGTGTTCCCTTGTGTCCCCTGTGTTCCCTGTGCCCCCTGTGTCCGTTAGTGTTCCCTGTGTCCCGCGTGTCCCTTTGTGTCCCTTGTGTCCCCTGTTTCCCCTTGTGTCCCCTGTGTCCCTTGTCCTGTGTCCCATGTGTCCTTTGGGTCCCCTTGTGATCCCTGTGACCCTCGTGTCTCCTGTGTTCCTTGTGTCCCTGTGTCCCCTGTGTCCCCTGTGTCCCCTTATGTCCACTGTGCCGCCTTGTGCCCCCTTGTGACCACTCTGTCCAACCGTGTCCCTTGTGTCCAACTGTGTCCCTTATGTTCCCTGTGTCTCCTTGTGTTCCCTGTGTCTCTTGTGTCTTCCTGTGTCCCTTGTGTCTCCCTGTGTCCCCTTGTGTCCCCTGTGTTCCCATGTTTCCCTTTGCGTATCCTGTGTCCCTTGTGTCCCCTGTGTACCCATGTGGCACGAGGCTTCACTTTTTGTGCCGGAGGAAGTTGGGGTGCAGGTTCAAATCTCGTTCAAATCTACTTCCAGTTTTTTTTTTCTCGTTTTTTTTCTTTCATCGTATTTTTATTCTCACTGCTGACCCTTTTCTGCTCCGAGAGATTTTTGCGATAATGTATGTCTAGTTGTAGTTCGATGTACCAGTAAAACAAGAAAGAACATTTACCTGAATTGTTTGCCTGTGTTCTCTAAATATATTCACTCTAACAACTGCTTTGTTGAATTCAGGATTAGTTGACTGCACCAGCTCATAAAACTACCTTGTAATGTGAAGCTACATAGAGAGCCATCAATCTCTGTAAGAAAACTTCAGATGCTTTGTGATACGAGAAAAGAGTGTCCCGGTTGACATAATATCTGAAGGATGCCATTAAGGTCATGTATAAAAAAAACTCATCTCAAACACGGTTCTAAATAAATTTAGACAAGGGATAGCTGATGAAAGAAAAATATCGCCCCTAATCTTTTGCTAGATGCAGGAAGAAAAGGAATCCATTGAGGGCAACTGTACTATTACAGCCAGCGTGGTGACGTATATCGTTCAATAACTTAGCAATGACGTGAATAATCCCACTACATTGTCCTATTAATATTAAAAACAGGCTGCTAAGAGCCATTCAGATTAGAAAATTTTGTTAATGTTATGACACGAAACGAAATATCCATACTTCACTTTTCAAAGTTGGAGAGAGTTCGAGCTTATGTTTCCGGCTTGAGAAAAATAAACCGCGTTAGGGATACTCATTTCGAGTCAACATTGACTTCTCCTCATTCATATTTAATAATTGCAATTTAAGAAACACTCTGATGTCAACATAACCTGCGACCAAGCTCTCCATTTGAGGGATATCGTGAAAATTTAAGAGCGAGCGCCACGAGCGAAAGGAGACGCGAAAAGGACGGCCTTGCTGCTCAAGCTCGCGCGTTCTCTACGGAGAGCCTACTCGCGGGCTAATGTAACACTCGCGTCCACTTGTTCAAGTCGTACAAGTCAAGATTCAAGTGGGAAGAGTCGTCAAATTGTGCAATTAGTTCATGTGGCGAATGTGATACGTTTGAAAGAAAGAAGTGAAGAACATTACTTGGTTGCACCTCCTTAGTGTAGAGAGGGAGGCCCTTTTCCAGTGATACGGCTCGTACAATTCGCGCAACTGGTGAAATGGCATCTCATCAGCGAAATTTTCAAGAACTGAGAGCAGAATTGTCGAGGGGGGACCTTTTCAGTGGTACGACTCGTATAAATCATACAACTGGTGAAATTGCATCTAATTAGCGACACTTGAAAATTGAGAGCAGATTTTTGAGAGGGGTTTTTCGAGCGTTATGAGTCATACAAGTCCTACAACTGGAGAAACTGCATATTATTAGTGCACAGAAACGGTTATAGCAATTTCGATTACACTCTAATATAATAAGCGCTTGAACAAGAACATATATGCCATGAAGATTACTTGTTCTATCAGAAATTGCTACACAAACTAAATACGCCAAATTATACAGTTTAAAAATAAAAAACCATCATGGAACGCCAAAAGGATACAGATCACAGTTTTCAGGCAGTGGACATCCTGAAGTAAGTTTCTGAACCACAGTAGCATCCAAGCACAGTAAGTGATTTAACCATCTCTCCACCTCATCTCCTGGAGCATAACGGATTGACTCGTTCAGTGTTATCTCATTAAGAGTGCGGCCCAGAGTAGTAGAACTGCTTCCTTTGTTTGCAGATTTTGATAATGATGATGATGAGCCTAAAGGTGCACTCTGTTCTCGCAGCTGCTGGATGAGTTTTAAAGACAGAGATCTGCCAGTTCCTTCATACCTACGTAGGAAAATCTACCATCAGATTTGATTTCATCCAAAGTGCCATAGAAACTAACACAAGACACTCACCACTCTTATATTTTCGGTTCGGCAACAGGGATGTTACCAAAATGGTAAACGGGCAACGGGTAGCCTGTTCCAGGCTCCGAGATAGTCGAGTCCACTGAAGCGCGGAGATGGAAAAAAACCGGGAGGAAACTGGGGAGGGGAAGGGCGCCCCGCCAACTTTTCGCGTACCTTTCACTTTTGCGTCTTCCCCACTTTCTGAAAGCCCTCAAAAAAGAGTTAGACCACTCGATGAATCAGCATTCGGAAAGCTATAAAAACCTTTACAGTTGAATCCCTCCACAACGCCCACCTTGGGGACAGAAGAAAGTAGCCGTTGAAAATAAGTTTAAACAAGAGTCAATTTATGGACTGTCCGCAGAAAAAATTGGCCGTTGTGGAGAGGTGGCCGTAGGTGGAGGTTTGACTGCAGCTGGAAAGAAAGTTACTTTGAAATTCCCTTTATTTCAGCACAAATTTCAACCTTACCCGTTGACAGTTGACGAGAGAAAGACAAGATAAGGACCCATGAGATCTTTGACCAGGGGCAAAGGTATAGCAGCAGCCTCGTCAATCACCACTAATTCCGCTTGACCAAGCTTGTGCGCATCAGATGGGTGAATGTACTATAAAAGGAGAGTTGATATTTGTTATTGATTTGGAGGGGTCAAAAAAGTAGAGAGACTCAGAACTTCGCTTGAGGTTATTACCATATGTAACGTAAGCACTGCCATTGTGAAATTGCGGTTAATCTCAAAGAAATGTCCGAGAATGAATAACACGGAAATAATGCGAAATGGCATTATTTCTGTGTTCCCCGTGTCCCATTGTGTCCCCTTGTGTCCCCTGTGCCCCCCAGTGTCCCATGTGTCCAATTGTGTCTCGTGTCCAATTGTGTCCTTTGTGTCCCCTGGTGTCCCCTGTGCCCAATTCTGTCCCTTGTGTCCCCTGTGTCCCCCTGTGTTTCTTGTGTCTCCTGTGTCCCCTTGTGTACCTTGTGTCCCCATGTGTCTCTTGTGTCCTTTTGTTTTCCCTGTGTCCCCCTGTGTCCCCTGTGTTCCCTTGTGTCCCCTGTGTTCCCTGTGCCCCCTGTGTCCGTTAGTGTTCCCTGTGTCCCGCGTGTCCCTTTGTGTCCCTTGTGTCCCCTGTTTCCCCTTGTGTCCCCTGTGTCCCTTGTCCTGTGTCCCATGTGTCCTTTGGGTCCCCTTGTGATCCCTGTGACCCTCGTGTCTCCTGTGTTCCTTGTGTCCCTGTGTCCCCTGTGTCCCCTGTGTCCCCTTATGTCCACTGTGCCGCCTTGTGCCCCCTTGTGACCACTCTGTCCAACCGTGTCCCTTGTGTCCAACTGTGTCCCTTATGTTCCCTGTGTCTCCTTGTGTTCCCTGTGTCTCTTGTGTCTTCCTGTGTCCCTTGTGTCTCCCTGTGTCCCCTTGTGTCCCCTGTGTTCCCATGTTTCCCTTTGCGTATCCTGTGTCCCTTGTGTCCCCTGTGTACCCATGTGGCACGAGGCTTCACTTTTTGTGCCGGAGGAAGTTGGGGTGCAGGTTCAAATCTCGTTCAAATCTACTTCCAGTTTTTTTTTTCTCGTTTTTTTTCTTTCATCGTATTTTTATTCTCACTGCTGACCCTTTTCTGCTCCGAGAGATTTTTGCGATAATGTATGTCTAGTTGTAGTTCGATGTACCAGTAAAACAAGAAAGAACATTTACCTGAATTGTTTGCCTGTGTTCTCTAAATATATTCACTCTAACAACTGCTTTGTTGAATTCAGGATTAGTTGACTGCACCAGCTCATAATCTAGATGTTCCTAGAATATAAACAAGTCATTGTTTTGAGAAGTGCATGTCGGTGGAAAAACGGGCAACGACAACGTGCAACTTGTTTTGCAACATTGTTGCAAGAGGAACTGATTTGCGATGTTGCCCGTTTTTCATGTTGGCCAGACGGTTAACATACCTTCCTTATGGAATCTCAGGGTGAGATAAAAATAGGGAAAAATCGCTTGTCTTTTGGGCAAGGTGTTGCTGAAGTCTACAACCCCAGGCCTAGGTCATGTAGGCCTATGCCAGCCCCCTCAATCACTTGAAAGTATTTTATCTCCGCAAATGTCACTTGCCAGTTGAATAACTCGTAACAACAACATGCCAGCCTCAAGGGACGCTCTAGCCTCCCACTCAGATGTTCTTAGGGGTTCATAACGTGTTCCTGCCCCACTAGCGGGGCAGGAACGCGCGACGAACCCCTAAGAAAGTCTGAGTGGGAGGCTAGGGACGCTCCACTAGCCCCAGCCTATCGGACAGCACCTTTTCTCACGCCCTGGAAGGGAAACCGGTCATTTCGATACAAAGTCCTTTCCATAAGAACCCAAGAAGTGAAACTGCGCAAAAATTTCGTTCACTTAAAAAAAAGTTTGAAAAATGAATCAGTTAGTCGTTCCCGTAACTAATGTCAAAGTCAAATCGGCATTCCTGCATGTGTAATGAGCTGTGAATATTTTACGACAACTCTTCTGTATTTGGTCAGATTGAACATCTTTCAATGGATTAAATTTCTTAGAAGACATTTCCATCAAATTCAGGGAAGCTGAGCTGGTAGAAATTTCCTGACTGCCTCGCGAGTGAATTCACAGCTCATTACGCATGCAAGAATGCAGAGATGAATCTGCAATCTACAACTACTAACAGATTCAACTTTCGAATAACAAATTCATTAACAGTATCTTGGGGGATACACTTCAACTGGCTTGACTGTAAAAAACGTTTCCTCTACCTCGTCTCTCTTCGCTCAAGCGTATAAGAGGGTACTAGTGACGCCTATTTCGCTTTCACTCACGGTCTCAATGCCATTTTACAGATCACTCACGGTATTTTTGCTGGATTACAAACCTGAAACTCCAATGCATCAAATCCTTTGAAAACAAACTCAAACAGTGTATTTAAATTTTCAGGACTGGGTGAGGTGACAAACATGTTGGAGTACCTACAAGTGAAAAAAAAAAAACACGATATATTGGTATTCTTGGGGGCCTTAATACACGTCCCTAACCTGCCGATAGGCTACAATCTAACAGTCCTTAGCCTGCGCCACAGACGAAACTAAACTCTGGTTAAGTCCGTCTGCGAAACAGCGCTGAAATCCTTGTTCTGGGTCCCACCTGTGTACCAGGATTTGAATACGCGCCATGATTGGCCTGTTAAAAATGCCATCGTCGATTTGCCAATCGGACGGAAGGAAAATTCGAAACGTACATCGGCGCGGTAGTTCGGGTAATTCGTTGAGACCGTTGGAGGCCTGGAACTAGGAAATCAGTGCTGCTTCGCAGACGTTAGTGAGGACCGGGGAGTTAGATTACGTCTACGACGTAGGCTAACAATCCTGAGCAAGTTCGGTTGTGAAGAATTAGCCGGGAGATTTTAGCCTACGTGTAGCCGCACCCTTCCCACGGGGTGCGGCTACACGTAGGCTAGGAGATTTGAGCAAATCAGAAACGGAGATATAATTTGAATGAATAATAATGTGGAATAATCAGCTAAACAAGGAAAAAGAATATTTTACCCTTCTCTCCCCCACTCCCTCCCCCTTCTAGACCAAGTTATGGCAAGATCATTAATTTACCACTCTTACTTTTAAATCTGTGGATGAAATCCTAATGAGCTATGGTTAAGCTCGATTACCAACAGCTGTTCAGGCAATGAGCCCAGCTCCTCCCCCAAACAGTTTCTTCAGATCTCAGATCTGCTGCATACGACATGCTACTTCTATTGTGTACTCTATTACCTACCCAAATGCAACGGCAGATGCTAGTGCCAGCCCCAAAGCAGCTGATTTTCCACGCCCTCGTGCAGCAGTCAAGGTCACAGTACTCCGTAGAGTTTTCTCTGATATGGCTTCCACAAATTTGAGGACAGCTTTGGCCTTAAAAGACCAGAAACATACAGTAAGCCATCACAGCTACAGGAGTACATGTATACAAAGTGTATTGGGCATTTAAATTTCATCGCAATAGAAAAGAGAAGTGTGACATCATGTTACCATGGTAGCAAAATTTTTGGATCATCAGAATAGGGAGCTTAAGCAATGACGAGGGCAACGACAACGAGAACGGCAAAAAAGCAATAGATTTATATAAGCAAAGCAACAACTTTGCACGTGCATCAGGCTTTTTTGTACATTTCTTGGCCGTCGTTGCAGGACTGCGACATGAAACGTCCTAATTTTACACGTCAGCAGAGCTTTATGGAGGAGGTGGACACAACACAAAACTTTCCGTTTTCTTTTTATACACTTAAATACGGTCCTTTCGGATTCCACCCCAGAACATTTCGCCAACATTTGACAAATGAAATAAACTTGAATGAGATTGATGAAGTGTGAAACAGTGCGAACTCACTTTTTAACTGACATTTTCGGTTTGTTGTCCGCCAGAAATCTTGCTACCATGGCAATGTGATGCAATGACTTCTCTCTATAACGGGCATTTTAGGTTAGGTTTCGGTAACAGCAATTTGTTTCCATGATCATTAGTAACACAAATTGATGCTTCCAACACAGGTTTACATGTGCAGTACATATTGGTGGAGTAATCATGCAAATAATGTCTAAGTTGGACACGTCTGGCTAAAGAAACTACATGTAGCATAAATTCTTTTCATGGAACAAAAATCACACAAAATCCGCGTTACCACCACCGCCATCACCACCTCAACAAAACAACCACAACGTCGCCACCATCGTCAAGATCAACACTGGCGATCATTATCAACATCACCATTAACATCATCATCATTACCATCATCATCATCATCATCATCATCATTAATGATCAACACCAACATCAACACAATTGCCTTCACCATCACCTCTTCTGACACCAACAAGCCATCATTATTTCATTATCACAGCCATATTATCATCATTTTGAATGGTCGTTTCTGATGTTGCAAAAAGCTATCGTTGGTTAGCTACTGTGTTGAAGCGTCGGTATTTTTACAGTGTTTGTTCGATCTTTATTACGTCATTAGGTGAATGCGCTATCTGTACCACAACCATCACAACCATTACCGAGTTCAAGCACCGGACTACTACAGCCTCCATCACTTTCACCTCCACACCATAACCACAAATAAGTACATGGCGCTTTCCATTTAGTCAAAATTTCCGAAAATTTCGGTTCGGCAGTAAATGGAAAACGTTTGGTCGGTTCGTTCCACTGGAAAAATCCCTGAAAAAGTGGAAAATCTAAAGAGGTAGGCCCGCTTTCCCCGTTGGAACTTTCCGAACGGAATTTCGTATCCATTTACACGTTTGTGGTACTTCATACCAGTTGCAATAGCGTAGCGCGCGAATGACGTCAAAGTGACTAATTTGCAATTTTTGTCTGAATTTTGTCATTTTTGTCATTTTAATGACAAAAGACAGACACACATGACATTTTAAAAACAAAACTAAGACAAAAGTGAGGAATTCGCTATCTTAATTTCAGTTTGTTTTTCTTAGTTACGGGTCTATAAATAGTAACTGCGCGAAGCCAACCAACTCGGCAGCCATCTTGGTGTCCCGTCGGGTGACGGGCTCGGCGCCGTACCGGGGTTTACGATCAAATAGAACAACTTTTTACCTATCGGAAAATCCATTTCTGTTCCCACCGAAATTTCCTGATTTTTTATCTAAATGGAAAGCGCCCACAATGAAAACCGCCTGATATAAGTGTTTAACAAAGTTACATACCTGCAGCACACAGAAAACTTCAGGTAAGATATTCTGTGCTGGGTCAACAGGTCCCAACAGGCAAAAGATGTGATGCGCAGGCGCATCAGATAATAGCTGCAGGTCGTTTGGAGTGTTCTAGAAAAATACACGATAAAAAGAAGTAATAAAATTCTACAGGCAGTAAGAAGAGTTGGTTTCAAGAATTTTTCAGTATACGACGAGTTGACTACACATACGTGTGACCACTTACACACGTGACTAGATCGCGCACCTGTGAGGGGTGTGTAAGAGTGGAGCAGTGTCTAAGCAAACAGTACCATTTCATGACAGGGCTTAACTACTGGCCTCCAGATAGGAAGACTAACAAGCCAATTGCTACAACACCGTGACAAACCGTAGGCTTGATTACCGGAAGACCTTAAAAAATAATGACCTCAACCGGGCTGGCGCCCAGCGGTTTTAGTGAAAACAAGGGTCTGGGTGGAGTGTAGTGGCGCGCAGGATGATGCCGCGCGCGTTACGCGAAGACGACCGGGACGAGTCAGGGAGAGCGGCGGAAATCGGGCCTAAACAAACCAAGAACTGATGAGTTTCACAAAGTGAGCCTTGACGTGGGAATGAGTTGTCCTATGAGTTTACACACAACTTTGCAGTAACTACCTTGTAATGTGAAGCTACATAGAGAGCCATCAATCTCTGTAAGAAAACTTCAGATGCTTTGTGATACGAGAAAAGAGTGTCCCGGTTGACATAATATCTGAAGGATGCCATTAAGGTCATGTATATTAAAAAAAAGTCATCTCAAACACGGTTCTAAATAAAGTTAGACAAGGGATAGTTGATAAAAGAAAAATAACGCCCTCAATCTTTTGCTAGATACGGGAAGAAAAGGAATCCATTGAGGGCAAATGCACTATTACAGCAAGCGTAATGACGTAAATCGTTCAATAACTTAGCAATGACGTGAATAATCCCACTACACTGTCCTATTGATATAAAAAAACAGGCTGCTCAGAGCCATTCAGATTAGAAAATTTTGTTATTGTTATGACACGAAACGAAATATCTACACTTCACTTTCCAAAGTTGGAGAGAGTTCAAGCTTATGTTTCCAGCTTGACAAAAATAAACCGCGTTAGGGATACTCATTTCGAGTCAACGTTGACTTCTCCTCATTCATATTTAATGATTGCAATTGAAGAAACACTCTGATGTCAACATAACGTGAAATTGCATCTAATTAGCGACACTTAAAAATTGAGAGCAGATTTTTGAGAGGGGCTTTTCGAGCGGTATGAGTCATACAAGTCCTACAACTGGAGAAACTGCATATTATTAGTGCACAGAAAGGGTTATAGCAATTTCGATTACACCACAGGCGGCCCAGACGTAGTATGTGTCACTGAATGAATATATTAATATCCACATGGACAAATTAATGCGATGAGTCGTCGAAACTCCCATGGACTAAAATAGTCTAAAAGTCAAAATATAACAAAACAAAGCTAAGATACCTTCAACTGAACGTATCCTTGTCTTTCCTGGCCGGTTTAAGTGGCATTTTGTTGAGTTTTGAAATTGTAGGTACTATCCACTAAAGAAGAATTAAAGGCTGGCTACAAAACAAACAGACCATCTCCACGCGCCTTCACACGAAGCGCTATAAATTCGAGAATAATCGACGAATCCGCTCCAAATAACCATCGGCTAATCTGCAGGTAACGTGTGCTCCTGCTTCTGGCTCGCTTGCTCCACAAAACCCATCACAACTGCACAATAATTGCTCGCTCATCAACAACCACTGTTGACCTTTACGCTTCGATATGACCGCATACGACCAGGTTTAATACGCGACGTGAATATTCAAGCTTAGCGACCGCGTTCGCGCAACAATGCAGCACTTGCTATGGGAGGGATGGTACTATTGCTTCCAGGTCAATCAATCGGGAAAATAATATTGATGCCCTTGTCATTTTTTAAAAAGATCCAATTTGCCCAAGGAGCACCGAACAGATACGAATCTTATAGCGGAGCTAAAAAAAATGAGCGGCAGTGGAAAAAGTGAATAAGAACATGTACCACATTTTCTCCATAAAAAGTGAAAACCAGGAAGTTTTCTGGACGTTTCACGTTGCAGTCATGCAAATCAACGGCAAGGAAATGTACAAGAAAGTGTGCTGCAATTAGACCTATTGTTGTTTTTCACAGTTCTGGTCAAGGGCATCCAACTTTTAATTTTTCACATTTCACTCACCGGGTTAGGCTATTTTTCTTAGAGAGTAAAATGGAATCCTAAAATTTTCGGATTCAAAAATGTGATGAAAGAAGGTATCTGAAAAATTATCTCCTTCGTAATACGTTAAATTGCATCTAAAATTTTCGGGAAAATAATTCTGAATTCCTCGTAATTTCGAAAAGACTCAAGTTCCTCTAGAATGGCCGAACACTGAGATGCAAATTTTATAGCGCCACTTAGAATGCATTTCTATAGAGCTAAAAGTACTTTATGAATAGCTACAGAAGTGTTTTCAATTGAAAGTATTTGAGGAAACAGTCGTTGGGTGGCCCTGTCTCGTTGCCTTCTCCGCTTAGCATTACACGATATATTTTATATTTAGTATGAGCAAACTATAAATCATTAGCTTCGCTTTTAGCCCTCCTGACTAAATTTATGTAAGCGCTGTTTAGAATACATTTTTCGATCAAAAGTACCCTGGACAGCCTTAAATGTGTTTTCGATGCATTTAGGGGGAAATCATCGTTGGGTGCCCCTGAGTTTTGAGAATAATAATAATAATAAAAAAAGATATCGCGCACATAAATTTTACCTTACGATATCTTCAGCTGTATCTTCTATTCAGCTGCATAGCGGGGGCCAGATTTTGCCTTTTTCCTGGGCGGAAAATTCTCGTCCTCCTTCACCAGTTTGGACAACATATTATGGAGTAAGACGTTGTTAATCTAAGCAAATAAGTCTGGTAGAGTCAAGAACCTATGCAAGCGGCTGGACGAACAATGTGACAGCAGCTGAGACAGCGAACGTTAGAAGAATTCGAACATGAAAACCAGGGCTGCCCTGTTGAAAACTTACGGACGGTCCCGCGATCGCCTTTTGTTTTCTGGTCAAAACTAACGCAGCGAACCTTCGGTCAGTCGATTGACCTGGAAGCAATAGTACCATCCCTCCCATAGCAAGTGCTGCATTGTTG